ACAGAAAATATTCCGTTAGAATAATTTCTATCTGGGCAGATATGTATTTTTATTCTTTTGAATAATACGTATTTAAAACAAGAATAAAATATGGGAAGAATATACGATGTTTAATATCTTTTTTCCTTCTCCGTTGCAGAATATCTTTACCGGAAAGTAAAGTCAGTGCTATCTGGAATTTTTCCAGTAAGCAAGACGTGCTGCCCGTGCAAGAAAAGTATATTAAGTTAAAACCACCGATAAGCTTAGAACAAAAGATTTTGCCTCTAGATCGCGTTGAAGCTAGATCAACTTTATTTACCGAATTACAAAGTTATTGGACAGTGCCAATTAGTGACACTGCCGTAGTCGCAGGTCTGTCAGTTAACGATGGTACAAAGGGCGATGGAACGGACGATGTGATTAATGTTCTTGTTACGAATCCATTAAAGATATTTAGTATAATTCAAGAATCAGATAGGATTCGAGAAACTTCGTTACATGGATTGATAAACTCTACAGGAGGTAATAGACTTCGGGTCACACTGGCGACTGACAGCAATCAAAATGTTTTAGTGTACGAAGAAACAGTAAGTAATTTTTACATCAAATAAATTCCCCCCTTTTTTTTTATATTGCAGTATATTGCAAAAGATATTACTTTTCAGAATAATGTTCTGTTAGTAGTGAATTTAAACAAAGGATCCGTTCAAAAGGTAGAAATACTATCATTCTTCGACATAGCATCGAATAAAATATCAAATGCTTTGAGAAATGTAAGTTTTCATCGAAGAATGAAGCCTGATTTGATAAAGTCCCACAATCAAATTGTTTTCTACACGTATAATTCTAACAAGATAGAAATAATCGACTTAAGTCGCATGTGTTTTTATACGATGAATTTGCCATTCGAGATACAGTCAATTTTACTTCCATCAGAGAAAAGATGGTTGATTCAAGCTAACGATAAAAACAAATATATTCTCAAGAAATCTACAGATTCGTCACCGTGTCCAAATGTTTTACAACAAGTGGAAGAATCTAGCAAAAATAGTTCCGAAACTGATTTATTCCTCGGTTGCACTGGTAGCAACTTGAGCAGTAATGTACTCAGTGCAGCATTGAAACAGAAAATAGATTCTCCAAATAGACTGCTGGTATCTGACAACACTTATGCCAGCATTGCTGTTGGATTTCCCGATTTAGATAGTTTCAACGAACTTCATTCTTGGCCGAGACCGAAACAGATTAGAAGCTCTACACTCCCTGTTTTTATGAACAATGGACAAATTATTAGATTGGTTACATCTCGTGAAGTTCCTAGTGATGTTACTCCAAACATTGAGACAAATTTAGGAATCATTGGTTACTTAGAAATTGTTGATATCGTAAATCAGAAGTTACGATACGTACCTGTACCAGAGTATGTGATTATTCTAGTACAGAGATTAATTTTTATCGTGCGCGAAGATAACTTTATCATATTTATTAAATGCATTATTTATATTTTTAGACCAACCAACGTGTCGCAAATAACTCAATTCTTGTACCCAAGCAAGGATCACTTGTATGTTTCGCCTAAATCAAATCACGATCTTGTAACGGTAGATGCGAGTGGTTGTGTCCGCCTTTGGGAGACGTCATTAGCGAATATTGCAAAGTCACTTGGAGCTTGGCGAAAAATGTTAGGAAACGATAACGAAAACTTGCAAATGACTAAAGAAAGATATTCTGGATTAGACGTCAGTGGTCCTAAACACGGGAGAGTCGATGACAAGAATGAACCGCATGTTGGAGGTAATACATGGGCAGGAGGAACCGGAGGTACGTACGATGTACTACAAAAAATTGTGATACGACATAAGATATAATGCGAGTTAGAAACGAAGGATACAATGAAAATTTCAGGAAGAGACACTGCAGGCCTAGGTGGGAAGGGTGGACCTTATCGCTTGGATGCCGGTCATACGGTGCATCAACTTAGCGATGAAGAAAAAAACGCGATACCGGAGCACATAAAGAAGGCAGCGAGAGAAATGGGTTTTAAAGCGTTTCAGCAGCGATTAAGAGAAATTAATATGAGTGAATATGATCATAAATTGTACTCGCAATTTAGCGACGCTGTTCAAAAGCAGGTTAAAGCGCTAAGAACTATAATAGGTCAGTATATTTGCTCATTGCGATAGTTAATATAAATGTTTGTTTTACTTCAATAAATCTGGAAAAGCTGCAATTGCTTTCTATAGATAGCCTGCAAGCAAAAAGTAAAGAACGTCAATGGTGCAGGCACCAAACTTCCGGAGAATTGGATGATACCAAATTAATCGAAGGATTAACAGGGGAAAGAACGATTTATCGAAGAAGGGCGGAGAGAGAGCCCGAGCTCGGCGCTCCACCGACAAAACCAAAGCGTTTGAAATTAGTGGTGGACGTTTCTGGTAGCATGTATAGGTTCAATGGCTATGATGGACGTCTTGACCGAGAAATGGAAGCTTGCGTCATGGTAATGGAGGCGTTTAGTGGCTACGAAGGGAAATTTCAGTACGATATCGTTGGTCATTCCGGCGATGACTATGATATTGTTTTCGTAAAGCACACTCAACCACCGGCGAATAACAAGCGCAGATTGGAAGTAATACAGGTAATAGCAGTTGAGAAATTGATTAAACACGTGAGACAAAGTGTTACAAACGAAATAATTTTTTTCCAGAGGATGCACGCACATTCACAATTTTGCATGTCTGGTGATAATACTTTAGAAGCAACTCAGCATACGATCGCGAGCCTAGCGAAAGAAGATGCCGATGAGTGTATCGTTATTGTACTTTCGGATGCCAATTTCGAACGCTATGGTATTCGTCCTGAGAAATTTGGAAAAATTCTTACATCAAATCCAGATGTTAATGCATTTGCTATATTTATCGGATCCTTAGGCAATCAAGCTTTTTAGTAAGTATATATTGTTTGACATTAGCAGAATATTTGAATACTCTGTCAAGAATAAAGATAACAATGTATATTCTTAATTTTAAGTTTAACCAAGAATATAACCGCGGGACGTGCGTTTGTCTGCATGGATCTCAAGGACATACCTCGAATTTTACAACAAATATTTGCTGCTTCTTTGTTAAGTACTACAAAGTCAAGTTAATGCTGGTGTAAAACATTTACTGGTATATTATCACTGATGTAAAAATTTTTGTACCATTTTATAGATATTTATAAGGGTAAATTATAAGGCTAAGAAACATATTGTAATATATTACGGTGTTGTTATTATTAAATTGTTATGTATGCTTTTGAGATGCAATTGGTTCTTTCAGAATATCAAAGTAATTTATTTTCACATTAAAATTAGCGTTAATAAGTTAATGTTCTGTTATATACATTATTTAAAAATATTGGTAAATAATCACTAATTTAAATGACAATAATATGTTTCTAATAATGTTTCTAAATGTTGGTATCATTGCATCTTACAAATTTGAATATCTAGTAATAGTAGAACTATCGGAACCTTATCGGAATTAACTGAAAGCATACGAAGTAATTCAAAAACATTTAATCCGTCTATAAATACCACTGATGCAAAACAATTTAATCAATTAGTTGTACAACAAATACTTTTATATAAAGAATAGAATATCTTACCGGGAGTAGTTGTCCAAAAAAAAAAAAAAAACTCAATCCCAAAAATAAGGTTTATTTTCCATAATGGTTACAGTACATACTTCGACGAAAGACGTACATGTTTGCGCGCGTTGGAATTGCCCCACGTGTTTCTATCACGAAGAATTACATATGTACGTCGTGGTGTAGGGTAAGGTTCAGTGTTCGCGCATCGCTACAGGTCAGGACTCGGATGCGCGACGGGTTGAGGGTTGACGAGGGACCGGTGGTGACGGAGCGAGCCGAAGTTGGCCGAGCACGCTCGAAGCGAACCGAGAGTGTCGAGTGGTGTGGGGCGTACGTTTGTTAGTCGCACGCCGGTCGTTGAATGGAGCGGGTGTGGAGACGTGTACAAGGTGCCGGGCGTCGCGGTGCCGCAGCTCGCTGTGGCTGCCCTGTGCAGCCTTGTCAGCTGCACGTGGACCAACGCGCGAAACGAGGAGGCGCTCGGAAATCTCGCGGTGGGCCGCAGACGATCGTGTGCAGTTGTCAAGTGCAGCCATGCCCGGTACATCCGGTACTGATTAGGGTTCGTCGTACCCGACCCGCGGTTGCCAACTGTGACTGTCCACCGGAATCACAACCTTGTCCGCATGTACCGCGCACATCGGCTGTACGACGTGTTCGAAGGTAAATAAACACAGACAGGTCGTTGCCTGTTTCGCCATATTCCCCTTTAAACAGTGTCGTTTCTTTCTCTTTGCCGCTCTCTGTTGTTCTTCGGCGTACGTGTGTTTCACACACGTTGCGAACCATTGTAAATCAAAGGGGTGGAAGGCACGAAGGTCGAAGTAACCGTGTGTTGATCGTATTTACGAAGCCGTAAATGAAGCTCGTTGCGGCGCGCAATGTAGTTTAACTTGGTATCCTTCTATGGGGTGAAAGGTACATTCAGTTAACCCTGTCTCCTTTGGGTTATTTGCGATTCAATGGTGTTGTCTTGTTGATTAAAAGTTTTCTAAATTTCGCGAAAATACGAGAGAGAGAGAGACAGAGTCTTTATTATTTATATATTAATTCTGAATATAATATCGAAAGCTATTGTAACGGAAAGGGGGAGGGGTTTGACTAGTCGATTAGTCGAATCAGCATCACGTGATTATTACGTCGTGATAAATGTAAAGTTATCGACTGATCGAATGGATGTTTCGAGGGAGAAATAAATCGAGTCTCGTTGCATTATACGTTCATATTCTACAGGTAGCTTGCCGGTGAAATACATAACGGCTTCGATTTCGTAATTTCTTTATTTATCTTGAAATAGGATTTTGTGGAATTTCGTATTAGAGAGAATTTCTAAGCAGCTTTCTCTTGTGATATAAAAAATGGAGTACTTATTTATTTATTCATCGCAAACTGAGACGATATATTATTTCATAAAGCAAACGATATGTTCAAATATGCTTAAATTTATAGGTTAAATTTATTGTTAATCTGTACATCGTCATAACCTATACAATGTTTCGTAACATGATTTTGCCAAGATGTCAATGATGTTGACAATGTATTTAATTACTTTTAAACATAAATTTCCACTATACTCTATATACTATACTATGTATCGAAATAATAATTACTTTTATCTTACATGTTCTGAAGCGAAAAATCGATGAGTAAAAGAGTGCTTTTCCTTCGACGAGAAAGCGAAGTGTATTAACGTTTTAATATTTGCTATGCTTTTATCAACGTACGATCGAGAGTGGTATATTTCCGTGCTGAATAACATTCCTCGAATTTCAGTAATTTCGCACAGTTTTCAAAGTTTTATTAAAATTAATAGAATAAACGTGTAATTTCCCACGGTATTTCCTAACTAATTTTCAAGAAAAAGATCAGTTTAATTTCTGGTTCACGAGAAATTCCTCTTTAATAACGATGACACGTGATATTAATTCACCAATATATTGTTTCTAAATTCTTTGCAAATCTTTTGTAAACAAAATAACAATACGACTTTATTTGCAATTTAATTTTTCCGTACGAGTAATTTCGATTTTCAATTATTTCGATTTATTTCGATTTGATTATTTCCTTCTTGACGAATTGATAATATAACACAGGTCACAAACATAAATTGGGTTAAACACAACATTCTCTGCAACACCGTTTGAACTACATAGTGTACAGTTTGCAACATTGCCACAGGCATGTAATTGAGCAAGTTGTAATGAGCTACGGCAATGGTTTCCAATGTAAAATTTATCAGTACCGTGCTAATTAATCACTTTGTGTTGAATCAATAACATTAATAACATTATTCAATTAACAGCAATTCAGTCGTGAATGAGCAAAAATAGTTTTATTTCATTTTCATTTCGAATAAAAAAAAAAAAAAAAAAAAAAAAAATAGTAAGGCTAAATTCGAAAAGAAGCGAATGACACTTGGCCAAATCTATCTAGGTTGTAATCGATATCGTCAGGATCTGACAGAACATACCCGCGATTACGGAGAGAGTCAATAACATTTGGTAGGACTTATCTAGTATGAGTTAGAAACGACTGGACATGACAGAACGCGTTCAAGCCCAACATGATTCAACTGGGTGTAATATACGTTGGTACAATACGACTCGAACGTTGTAAATGTAGCTCGAAGATCGCTGGAGTTCGGTCAAAGTCGACTAAGAAAAATCAACAATGTGTTAAATTCAAAGAAACTTGGATGCTGGATGGTTATAGGTCGATAGTAGATGGATACACGTACGGCTCAGTTATGGACGTTTGGGTCTCGTGAATTATCAATATATAGGTCACGGTGTCAACGACATTCACCCCTGTTCTATGGAGGTGAAACTTGATCGTAAATATGTGACTGTAACTAAGTTTCTAAGTAGAGTACATACGATTGGATAGGTTGTGAAAAGGTCTTGATATTAATAAAATTACTTCCCGCGTTCTTTTTCTCGTACGAGGCCAAAGCTTTCGTAAAGCACTATTTTTTAATATTTAGACAGCACGGCGCAAGGGGCATATTTCTGGTTGAAGTTGTACGTACTTTTTCCCTCCGTTCTGGCCGTGTACCAGAATATTACCGATATCAAGATTTACTGGCCTTAAAGGTGGCACGCTGTTTCCTGATATTAGAGCCTTGTCGTTTTCACACGGAATCGCGAGAATCCAAGTTCTGCTACAATAATGATCATTAACCCTTTCGGTACGAGCGCTCTGTCCGCCGTGTATAAAGATTTTCCTCTAACAAATGTCGTTAGTTTTAATATTAAAAAACATTTATATTAAATTCTGTTAATTATACAAGTAACACAAGAATTATACAAGTACACATAGGTCATCTGATGAATATCGGATATATCCGGCGCTCGTACCGAAAGGGTTAACGATATCGGTCTCTCTTTCGAAAATTTCCCCTGGTCAAGCAAGCCAAGAAATATACCTAACTATTTTGGCTAACTCTTTCGTACCATGAAAGAAATCTTTTGCACGTCGCGTGCATTCTTCGTATTTTACCACTTCAAACATAGAACATTCACGTTCGTGAACATTGCACGTTGCAGATGCGACTGTCCAGAACGACCTTGCCGACATTTAGCAGGAAGCGGTGGTACGCGGCATCGAGTGCTGGTTCAAGCCTCTTCACCCACTTTTTCTCAAGCAAGCCAGTCGAATCACCAGCAGCAGCAGCAGCAGCAGCAGCAGCAGCCGTGCGAGTGTGCCGAAAGAATAAACTGCACTCACACAGGCGGCGGCGAGTGCGAGTGCAGCGAAGAAGCAAAGCCGTGCTCGCACACGGTCAGGCAACGCCGATTGCGCCGCACGTGCGACTGCAGTGGAAGTGGCTCGCAACCGTGCAACCATAAGCCACAGCACGAGGGACGGATTAAGCGGGTGAAGTGCCGCGTGAGGCGAGCCGGTTGCGCCATGGCCAGGTGCACCGCGGAACTCGCGATGCTGCACCTGCACTGGGGCCTCGCCACCGAATGTGCGCCATGCAGACCGCGCGCACTCACGCGACGGCTCTGCAGGAGGCAGCAAAGCGACAATGAACTCTACAGGAGCAACAGCTTCAAGTTTGAGCGATTCGAGAGGAGCAAGGACGAGTGCGCGACCCCGTTGCGGAAACAGGTGAGTGTTCACTTCCGAATTTCTTTAATTTCTCTCGTTGGAGATATTATTACGCCTTCGTGGCCAGAAGTTCGTTCCAATTGGCTCGCACACTTCACAGAAATCGGGCCAGTTTTGCCTCGAGCGAAGAATATTTATTTCTTGCGACACACTGCAACAACGAAATTTCTTTAACACTCGAATTGTTATGTTACACATTTTCAATCAACAAATCAGTTTTGTTGCGCCCTTTGTGTGGCATGAATGGTATTTGAAGTTTCAGTTGGCTCGACTTACAGGAAATTGGGTCAATTTGCAAATTCGCTTGAAAAGGACCGTTTTTTGTAATAACTTTCAGATCATTTTCATTACTCAACATTTATTAGCAATATAATACCTATATCGATAATTATAACCACTTCTATATAATATATATTTACGTAAATATACGTGTCTACGAATTTTCGCTTGTTGCATGAATTTTCCATTGGTTGGTGGGATATGAAGTTC